TTGGATACAAATTTGCTGAAAAGATATTCAAATTAAATCAATGAAAAGTGATGAAAATCATAAATCTCTTTAATGCAAAAATCACACTTCTTAAATAAGTGTGCTCCAGGTGAGAAATCTTTTGCCTTCCCTTAGAGGGTGAATGTTCACCTGCAGAAATTGACCCACACCACAAAGGTCAATTTAGCATGTTGGCAGGCTCCAGGACTTGGAACACATTCATTCTGTTCCAGGTTGCATATGCAATCAATCAGAGGGAACCACAAGACCCAGCTTCACAACCACATTATTTGATGAAATCAACCAAGGATATCCATCTTTCAAGCTTAGGGCGGAGCTACAGCGATCCTGGATTGCGCTGACTGCATGAGGACTGGAGGGATCCTCTGTCTTAGCACAGCTGTATTCATACTCCTCCCTGACAGCATCTCATTCTGGCTGAGGCCATTTAGAAGTGCCTTTTTTTCTTTTTTCTTTTTTTTCATAGTTTTAAAAAAGTGTTTAGTGGTGAGTACTATGGTTTACTTCTCTACCGTTTAAGCTTGAGAGATGGGTATCCCTTGTGGTCAATTTCATTAAGTAATGTGGTTGTGAAGCTGGGTGTTTTTGTTCCTCTGGTTGCACATAGAAGCTGGAGCAGATTGAAGATGTTCTCTGGGTCCCAGAGTCTGCCAACATGCTAAATTTACCTTTTTGCTGAGGGTCAATTTCTGAAGGTGAGCATTCACTCTCTAGGGCAGTGATCTCCAAGCTAGGGCCCATGGGGCGGATGTGGCCTTTTGGCTTGCCTTTATTCAGCCCTTGGGGCACTATTTGTTCCACTTATTCAAGGAACTATTCCTCCCACTGACACCAGTAATTGGCTATACTTACTGACAATTACACCAATAATGCAAGGAACTATTCCTCCCACTGATACCAAAAACGGGGCATAATTTCTCCCACTGTCACCACCCACTGATGCGGCTCTATTTCTCCCACTGATACCAATGCTGAGTTATTGTTTGCCACAGTCCAGCCCCCCAAAAGCCTCAAACACCACAAATTGACCCTTTAGAAAGTTTGGGAACTCCTGTTGTAGCGGAAGGTGGAGGATTGTGCGTGTGTGTATTTTCACTTGCAGAACACTTGCATTGAAGTGTGATTTTTGCACTTTCTGGGATTTCTTTTTCTTCACTTGGGACTATTATCTGAAATTTATTTGAACATTTTTAACAATTTGTGTGCAACATATTAACTGTTTTGGGTAACTTATGTTTTTTTTTAAATAAATCATTGTCCCTTTTTATACACATTTGCTCATTCATGAAGAAGATTTTTTTTGCAATGCTTTTTATGACATTTGATTTTTTTATGTCCTTTTCATCCCAGCTCATTTATACATAATTTTACATCTTGAGTTGATTCAGAGTTTCTGCAGCTATCGCTAGGAATACATGGGGGCTGTTGCAGAAATGTTTCTTTATCACGTGCTGTGAATGGTGCTTTTGGCATGCGAGCAACCCTGTGTTAACTGTATAGCAGGGCAGCTGCTCGGTGTGGGACCTGGAAGCTTGTGCTGCATACTATTATTTACAGCTTCCACAATGATCAGCCAGGTATGGTACATGCCTACCTACATTGGTCCAAGCTTACTATGCTGAAAAAGCCATACCTAAAGAAAAAAAAAAAAAAAAAAGATATTTAGGACGTGAATTATTAGTATCTGCAGGTGCGGATCAGATCAATGGCAAAAGCAACATTTAACAAGTGGGTCATTCAATAAGTGAAATGAACTTCTGAGCCTACTAAATAATATACAAAATAATAAATATAATAGCCAATTTCTGTGAATGCTGCTGCTGCTAACATTAATTGTGTTCCCACAATACAAACAAAATAAAGTGATGTAGCTCTAATAAACATCAATCGGTCATAATAGACAACCAAATTGAATGCACTGTGCTCAAAAGGAAGTGAATAAATACAAATATCATTCATTAATACAAAGAAATATATGTAGATATAAATAAATGCTAAACTGTTTCAAATAAATTTGTGTATAAGTTCATGTATTTCCAAATATCACACGATCCAACACCATAGATGCAAGTCCGCAATAAATGTGAATTTCATGAATTGGTGCCATTTCTGTGCTCTCAGAACTCTCACTTCCAACGCATGTAAAAACTGCTTGCTAGAGACATCTCCACAGTAGATAACTATCTCCTTTAGCCACTATTATTATTATACAAGATTTATATAGCGCCAACGGTTTGCTCAGCGCTTTACATTATAGTGGGAGACAATACAGTAACAATACAGTTCTATACAAGAGGGATTTGAGGGCCCTGCTCCTTGGAGCTTACAATCTAGGAGGGTGGGATGAATGGTACAGTAGGTAGTCACTGTGGGGGATGGAGTGGTTGGCAGAGTAGAGGATACCAGAATTAGCAGAGGGCAGGATAGGCTTCCCTGAAGAGAGGTTTTCAGTGATCGCCGAAAGTAGGTGATAATCTGATAGATTGGGGTTGGAAGTTCCAGAGGATGGGTGACGCCATGGAGAAGTCTTGGGAGATGAGCATGGGAGGAGGAGATGAGGGAGCTAGAGAGTAAGAGGTCTTGCGAGGAGCAGAGAGTACGGTTTGGGTGATATTTAGAGATCAGATCGGTTATGTAAGTTGGGGCAGTGTTGTGGATGGCTTTATATGTCATTGTTAGAGTTTTGAATTTTATCCGTTGGGCAACTGGGAGCCAGTGGAGGGATTGACAGAGAGGGGTGGCAGATACGGAACGGTTAGTGAGGTGGATGAGTCTGGCAGCAGCGTTCATGATAGACTGGTGGGGGGATAGTCTACAATGAGGTAGGCCAATGAGGAGGGAGTTACAGTAGTTGAGGCGTGATATGACAAGGGAGCCACTAGGGGCTGTCCACTCCTCCCATGCAATGGAATTTTAAGGTAGTGTTAGAGATACTCTTTCACCGGATACCAGTAACCTCATCCAAAAGAAAGTACACCCCATATAGTGTAGTAGATTAGTAAGACTCAATATTTTTTAAAATCTCAATTACATTCAGTTAAAATTAGATGCGCTTTACAGATAGGAAATCCTTTTACTTTTTTAATCTGCTTCCGCCCACACCCATTGGTCATTGTTTAGCATTTTCATCTAATTTTAATAAATTCACTTTCAGAAAGGATTTCAATTATTATAGTTTGCTACTTTTTCATACGAGAAAAAAACCCTTTTCAGCTCTGTATGGATCAACTAAACGTTTAGCATTCAGTGGTGTGGACATTTTTGAAAAAACTGCTTGTTCAGGGACTAAATCGGTGTCCCAATCTACTTGTCCCTCATGACAATCTACTTGTCCTGATAAAACAAAAAAAAAAAATTAACCAAAACTGTATTTTAATCTGAGGTGCTGTTAGGAATGTCTTGGACTTTTAAAATCAAAGGGGGCTTGATGGCGACTTAAACATTTTAATTTTTTTAACATTGCACCATTTTATCTCTTTTCCCTGCTTGTCTCCAGTACCACGCCCGGGAGCTAGCAGGGAGGAGAGAGACCTTGCAGTGTAATGAGCACTGATTGGGTACTTGTCAGGAAAGGGGAGTGTTGGGCTTATCCTTTTATCCCTTTTGCTGCCAGAGCCGTTTTTGCGCACATTTAAAAAATCATTTTAGGCTTGAAGATTACGCACAATCCCTAAATGTGATATATTTTCTGAATTCTGAGAACCTAGAGAACAAAAATAGTGGTGGTTCCAATTTTTTATGTCGCATGATATTACCGCAAAGGTCTAGGATACGCAAAATGTTTGTCAAAAATACACAATTAATTTTAGGGCACAGAAAAGCAATAGATCACCCTATTTTTTGTAAAACATATAAAAGATGAGGTTCCACCGAGTAAATGGATATCCAGCATGTCAAACCTTAAATTTGCGTGCGCTTGTGAAATTGAGACAACTTCAACCCTTTTAAAAACCCTTACAAGTCATCAGTTTAGCGTTACGGAGGAGATCTGGTTCTAGAATTATTGCTCTCATTCTGACGTGTGCAGCGATATGTAACGTGTGTATCGCAATCAAGGTTTTCATGTAGAGGATCCCTGGTTTGAGCGTTTACTTTTGTACGTGTGTATATGTGGGGGTGGGCTGGCCTCAAATTTTTTTCTTTTTTCAGGTGATGTTATGTTCTTGGCTGCAACTTTGATTTTTTTTTTTTTTTTTTTTACAATTAAAAAAAATTTCTTCTTTTTTTTTTTTTTTTTCCCATCATGATGATTTTTTTTTGGTGACAGGTTCTTCTTAATGAGACATGCAGGAGGGGCATTTGCTGGCACTGTGGGCTGTGTCGAAGCAATTGGGTGGCAGCACTGCCGCCCGAATGCTTCCACCTGACAGGTGAGCCCTGATGCTTGCCCGTAGCAGGGCTGAAGGTTGAATAAAAGCTACCTGCCCAACGCCCGGAACTACATGTCCCGGGCATCGGGCGATACAAACTCAAACATCCTTGAACATGTATATCTATCTATCTTTTTTTTTTTTTTTTTTTTCTGTTAGTATTTTGTATGCAATAAAATTTCACAAAGCTTTCCAGAAGTATTTATTCCACAATTAAGTCACAAAACATTATAAATGTTAGTGAATTTACTTTCTTTGTATTCACTCTAAAAGACGTTATTTAACATCGCACTCTGTGCTTTTGTGCATTAAAATAGTTACCAAAACATGACACTTAGTACAAGTGCTGATAGATACTATTGTAATTTATTTTTATTATGTGCTTGTGTAGCAAAATATATTAAGATGAATTTTTGAAATTGTGGATATCAATTATTTTCTGTTAGAAAAAAAACTTTTGTGCTAACTAGTGAGTGAACTACTGATAGCTTCCTAATGCATTGCCTGTGAATACCAAAACCACTGTGTTTTTTTGCTCAAGGACTACTTCATTGTGTAATAATTTACAATAGTCATAGGACAGTTCTAAGTATAGATTGTTTCATATAGATGCATATAATCCAGCACCTGCTGGTACCCAAGGTCCTCCTCCCATGATGGGCATGAACATGAACAACCGAGCAACTGTTTCGAGCCCTTCAATGGGTCCTGGTGCTTCGATGGGCTCTGAAGGAACTGCAAGCCTAGGAGCTGCAATGATGCCAGATAATGGAGCAGTGGTAATGTATCTATAGTTTTTATTTACGTTGTGTTTCCTTTTGTGCTCTAGCTGATGTAGTAAGTATATAGTAAGAACTATGCATGCAGAAAAGCTATGTAAAATGGCTAGATTATTAGAATATTATGTAAACTATTTTTTTTTTCCTACCTACACTTGTGTACTTTCCATAAGGCCTTCTTTATATCGGCCATACACTTGTGTAATATCTGTGTATTATTGCATAAATAAGGGGCACAATATTGCATCAATTTGTCACTAAATTATTGTTACACTTCTTTTAAGCTTTAAGGTAATTGTAAACGTACTTATCAGTATTTGTATTGATGCTATAGATCATATTTTTTTTTTATATATATGTATATTTTTTATTTGTGTTTTTTTTTTTTTTTTGTGCCTGCTGTTTTACAATATTTTGTTGACAGCAATTGAGTTTAGTTGCTTACTTTTGTATTGCCTCTTACATTAATAATTTAGTACCTTGTATAAATAACTTTTTGGTTGCAGTTCAACTTAAATATAAAAAAAATCATTTTGTAGCAGTTTTTAAACTTAATATTTCTGGTGTTTGTGTATGTTGTGGCATTCAATGGCTAACAATAATTTTAAATATATGGCTATATATGTTTAATTTTTAAAGGGCTTTATAAGTAACTTTAAAAAAAAAAAACTTGGTGATTTTTCATTTTAGCATGAGCATAAGTCTGCAAAAGCGCAAAATTTTGTTTCTTGATGTTTACCCAATTTTCAGTAGTATATATTTTTTGACTACCAGCTGAACTGTCTTAACTTAAAAACTAAGATATACTATTTCTGAAATAGTTTTAAAAGTTTTGTGCATTATAGCTGTAGTTTCAAACGTGTGTGCGCGCGCGCGTGTACGGATAATTGTGCTAGGAGAAAAAAAAATCTAATTTTTGTCATGCAAAGCCTTTCTCTTTGGCATCATAGAGGGCAATTTTTTTTTTTTTCATTGAGCCCACCAGAATGCCCATTTAACTTTGAGTGCCTGGTTCATTACCTGCTTCATTTTGTTTGTTTTTAGTTGAAACAACTGGTAAGACAATTGGGGATGAGACATTCATTTGGATATGTATAGTGGTGCTGCTGATACCAGTAGAAATTCCTCAGATAATATGTAAAACCAATTGTAATTAGATTTGCACAATCTGTGCACTTGAAATCCACTTTTTTTTTTTTTGTATTTCTTAAAATTGTAGCACTTAAGTCCCTTTTTTTTATTGTGTTTTTTTTTTTTTTTTTTTATACAGTTACTAATTTAACTGCTCCTTTCTTCCTTTTATGTACGACTCTACTGGACTGTCTACTGAACGTCACTACGCACTTTTGTGAATGTTTCCGATTTATATTGACCAATATTACTCTTGCGGGACTGCGTGTTGAACCAATGTGTTTATAGCGCAATGATAGATTCTCCCAGCCATCTCCATCACAGATGGGATCTCCCATGGTTAACAGAGCAGGAACTGAAGCTGCTCAGCCAGCAATGGGTGGTGTAAATGCAGTTGGTGGTGGACCTGGTGGCTATGGTAGAGGAAGCCAAGGGGGAAACTTTGATGGATCTAACAAACGTCACCGTTATTAGTGCACCATTCCTTCTCAGAATACATTTAGTATAAATTCCAGTGGAATGCCTTTTTTTATTTTTTATTCATTTTTAATTTGAAGCATTGTTTTGTCACTTATAGCATTTGTAGAACTTTTTGTTATGTAACTCTACATTGTGTTTTGATCAGTAGTAAAATTCACTATGCCTCATTGTGAATATTGAATATTATTGTGATTTAATCTATTTGTAACAGTGCTGTAAAATGTGCAGTTAAATCACAATAAAGGAAAATCTTGTTTTACTGTGAAATAAAGCCGTTTTAAAGGTAGGAATTTGGTGTCTAAACTTCATAAAAAAAAGTTCTTGTAGCTTAATTTTTATCTGCTGCGTTTTAACTACCTTTTTTGAATGTCCATATCTAGAGCAAACTTGTGATTTCTGTTCTGAACTTGGAAAACCTAAAGATAACGAGGAGTTTTCCTGTACAAAAAACAAAAAAAACACAGGAATGCTGCTCTGATTGTTTGTACATGGATGAGTACATTATTCCAGTTAGGCCCCCTTCTTACTGCACACTTTTTCTAAGCAGTGAAATGCATGAACAAGATAAAATGTATTTTCAATTGCACCTTTTCATAGCAGTACATTGCGCTGCATGCAGTGTGTTTTCATAAAGTTCTGCATGCTGCACTCTGGGTGGATTGACCAGAATTTACCCTCCAAATTGAAATGCTATCTTGCATGTCAGGGCAACGCATATTATCACATGGTATGAATGTAGCCTTAATTGGTATCCACCAGTGTAGAACATTTACCAGGAGCTGTCTTAGTTTTTTTTTTTTTTTCCTTTAAAAGTATCAAACCTGCAACCGTTATTTCTACATCCATGCTGGTTTTGATTCTAGCCAGTCTCTAATGCATTGGAAAGTACATCGTGGATTTAATTACAGTGGAGCACAATTTTTTCCAATGTTTTGCTTCCTGAAACACTTTTGGTGGTCATGAGACCCCTTTAAACTGCACACACCATAATTTCAACAATGACTGTATCATGTAGGTATCTTGAAAAATATGAAATTAACTTTTTAAAGACTATAATGTATTTAATAAACCTTTCACCATGTTCATTAATGACTGTACCTAGTTTTTCAATCCAAGTGTGAATGCAGAAAATGAATCTTCGTTGACCTGTTGCACTTCATGTTCTTGTGTGCTGTGAGAAGTTTGTCAACCAGCTGAATGTCGTTTGGTGCTCTGTAGTTGGCGAGAAAATTCTCAGTGGCATCCTTGAATCAGATTGTTAAACCGCTTGTCATTGATGACATATCTGACCTGTGGACCAATGCAAATACCTTCCTTAATCATGGTCCAAGTTCCTTTTGAGCCAAGCTGTAAATGCAACAGCACATCTTGCACAACAAATGTGAGGGTCTTAGGCTTTATCTCAAACACCAATCTTACAACGAAATATAAATCATACGCTTTAACAAGCCCAGTCATGGTGCATTTGAGGCTTAACCATTTCAATACCGTGCAATTTTACACCTTCCTGCCCAGGCCATTTTTCAGGTTTCAGCGCTCTCACACTTTGAATGACAATTGCGCGGTCATACAACACTGTACCCAAACTAAAATTTTATCATTTTCTTCACACAACTAGAGCTTTCTTTTGGTGGTATTTAATCACCGCTGGGGTTTTTATTTTTTGCTAAATTAACAAAAAAAGACCAAAAATTTTGAAAAAAAAAAAACACATTTTTCTTTGTTTCTGTTATAAAAGTTTACAAATAAATAATTGTTCTTCATAAATTTAGGCCGAGATGTATTCTGCTACATGTCTTTGGTGAAAATAACCCAAATTAGGATGTATTATTTAGTTTGTAGGAAAGTTATAGAGTTCACAAACGATGGTATAGATCTGAATATTGATCAATCCTGAAGTACTGACAGCCAATCTAATTTCTTGAGGTCCAAGAATGTCAGAACAGTACAGATATCCCCAAATGACCCCTTTTTGCAGAGTAGACAGTTCGACGTACTTCATAAGAGGCATGGCGAGTTTTTTGAAGTTGTATTTTTATGTAATAATTTTTCGGAAAATGAAAAAATGAAAAAAATTATTTTCACTATTTTTTTTTTTTTACATACTGTCACCAGTGCAGTACAGCGTCATCATATAACTGGCATGGCGGTTAACAGGGACACTGACTGGTGACAGTATGAAAAAAATATATATATACATTTTTTTAAAAAATTTAATTTTTTTATTATATTTAATTTTTTATTACATTTTTTTTAATTTTTTTTTAAGATTTTCTTTTCATATTTTACTATGGCCAAAGTAGTACAATGTTACCATAGTAACATTGTACTACTTTGGGTAAGTGATCAGTATTTTTTTTTTTTTTTTAACACAATTTGCTTATAGCAAAGAATTACTTTGCTATAAGCAAGCATTTACCTGAATGAAATCGATTCATTCAGCTTTTTTTTTTTTTTTTTTTTTTTTTTTTTTTCGTGCTTAGCTGTGATTTGGTCACAGCTAATCACATGACATGTGCATGTGATTAACTGTGACCATTCACATCTAGGCACTAGTATACAATTGATGGCATCATGAATGAAGCCATCCATTGTATACAACTGTCATGTGACCTGCTGTGATTGGTCACAGCAGGTCACATGGTACCAGCAACGGGAGTCGGTACTTGGATCTGTCATCGGCCGTGTCCGAGGTGCACGGCCCGTGACAGATCCCGCTGCGCCGCTCTGCATTACCGCAAACGGCGCATGTGCGGGAGCACGCCAAATGGCGTGCACCCGGAATGAAGAGGCACATCTGAAGCCGCCATTGGCCAGGCGGCTAATGGTTAAGCATGTACGTCCACAAACAGCAGTATGTATCATGGCTGTTCTGACATTGGCAAAGCATTTCTGCTCTCATGAATTGTTCTCCTATCATGCTTTTGACTAGCTTAAATATGTGAATTACATGTACATAGAGTGCTATGCCTTGACACAATCAAATCCGTTATATTGGAACTGATATTAACAAAATGAGTAGTATTTGTGCATGCAAGATGCTATAGCCTTTTCAGGCAGCATCCATCCAGCCTAGGCATGCCGAAACACTACCAAAAATGAAAAGTGAAAATTAGTAATCCTAAAATGATAAACCCTTACATAAAACAGTGAGTAACTAAATCCTCAAAATATAAGCTGTACCTGTTGCTTTCTTTACTCCACAACCTTCCAACATGTACGGATTATATGGTGTTTCTGAACTTCCAGGAGACAGAGGGTGGGTATCTGATGTCACACTGCAGAGCTGAGGGTAATTTGAGATGTAAGTGGAACAAAAGGACACAACCCTTCGACAGTCTCATTCAGAAACATGCACATCTCAGGCTATCCCCTCTGTGGTGGGGAGATATCTCCAAAACTGTCAGAAGTGACTCAGGTTGGAGAGCAGACGGGACCCACACTAATGATATTCTGACACAGCAATGCCCACTTTCATAATGTGCAAAATATACAACTTAATATAGAAAGTCCATTTGTAGTGTTCAAAGCAATCTCCTCCAAACTTCATAGCTGTAAATTGAAATTGGTGCGGTTTTTACAGCACAGTTCAGGTATGCAATCACTTTTTTATAGTTGATGCAGAAATCAGTGTCATGCTCCCTTCCAATGTTTCCACACTCACCCACGGTTGTGGACTGGTTATGCAAAGCATTGAGTCATAAGCATTTAAGTTGCAGGTATCTTTTAGAATACGTGGGCTTTCTGCTTCTCCATTTTGGACTCTGATTACATTTGAATTTTGATATTTTGCATATATTAGAAGTGGGCATTGTTGTGAGTCTGAATATCATTGCTGAAGGCGACAGAACCTTTGTAATAGCAGCCACCTTATTGGTTTATTTACTATTACTTTTATCTTAATCTATAGTTTTTTTGGTTTTGTTTTTTTCATGTCACTACATGACATGAACATTTGTGGAACGTTTACAGGGGTGTTTATAATCAGATGTATGTGTGTGTGTGTGTATGTGTGTGTGTATATGTGTGTGTATGTATATGTGTGTGTATGTGTATATATATATATATACAGAATATTTCTATAAATTGGTACATGATGGGATTTTCATGATTAACATCTAAAAATCTATAAAAAAAAAAAAAAAAAAAAAACTGAAGTGTTCAGGAAGCAAATTCTTGCTGTTACATTTTTTCAGTGGTGTTCATCAGGATGAACTTTGTACTTTTCCCTAAAAGGTGGTACAATTTGAAAACATTTTCTGTGCACCCCTTACTATTTTTTTTTTTTCCTTTTTCTAGCTTGCTTTTGCTGTTGCATGGCATAGCTTCATCTGTAGCAAACATCTCTATACCATTTTAACAGACTGTTTATATCATCCTAAATATCAGTACCCGTATGACAACGCATTTCAATAACAGGACTTGTATAGCAACAACAGTTTGCAGTGCTTTACAATATCAAGGGAGACAGTACAGCTACAATGCAATCAAAACAAGAGGTTAAAGAGGGCCCTGCTCATAAGATCTTACAATCTAATAGATTTAGATTTACATATTGCATAGCAAGGAGAAGACCAATCAAGTATTGAATCAAGGTATAGCTTTTGACAGTGTTACTTGCATGTCATCAAACTCATCATGTCCATTTCTCCCCTTTAATTTTGGATTCAATAATGCAGATAATCCTGTAATTTTTTACAAGATCAAATCTCATATTTACACTTACCACTGACAGGGGAGTCTCCAGAGCTCAGATTTTATTTATGTAAAACCTTTATCCAAAAAAAAAGAAAAAAAAAAAAAGCTGTTTCTGTAACTGTTTGTCTTAGCTGGAGTTTGGCTTCAGTTTGTTAGTGTACATAAATCTGCTAGTGGATTTAACAGTACTTCCTCTGACCCCTCCCCCATTATGACAATGCTGCTGTCTAGATGTGGCTCTGTTGCGCCTTTATCCAGTTATAAAAGTAACTAATGCAGCCACCACATCAAATTAA